GCAAGTTCAACACAGGCGTTGGGGCAGTCAATGTCCTTTCGTGAAACGCTGATCTCGATTACCGAGAGACAAAAGCTTAAGCCTTTCAACGATTGCTTAAAACCCAGAATAGCCTTACTTGTAATTATTTAAAAATTTTAAATGGTCGTATCTATACTTCTGCGAGCGTGCGTTCCAGTGTATGTACAGGGAAAGAGTTAGAGATGTGAATCTCCTTCAGTGTCCTTTCCCCTCCTGGACATGTGGCTGGGGCAACGCTGCTGAACGTGAAACCAGGAGAACGAGTAGCCACTTTGAATGTTTCATTTCTAGCATTTGTTCCGCTCCGGATAGGTGTTTGAAATGTGCGTCTGCTTATAAAGATGTGCCTGGGCGGGGAAAGGAGGGGGGAGAACGAACCGTAAAAGTGCAAAGCAAATGCTGGCGCTGGAAAACTTCGAACTTGTGCTGGCGAAGTTTGACCCGCTCCAGCTGAAACGAAGACGGTTTGCCAATTTCCACAGTTTTCGGGTCGACACTGACTTTATCCACAGATCTGTTGTGTAGGGGAAGAAAAGTCGTATAAAGAAACCAAACCGGRCAGTTTCTTTTCGGGGAGTTAATTTTTATTCTAAAACCACGGGCCGGTTATTATGTTTAAAAATTACTGATGATGAACGATGAGGAAGAGAAGGAGGATGACGATTACGACGAARATGATGAGAATAACCTTGTAAATTCCATCCAAATGGTTTCTATACGTATGTCAGCCGKGGTGGCGAAAACCGCACTCATTTTGTTGATTGAAGACGAAAACATTCCTTTTAATAAAATGTCACACGGGGAGACAGGTATTGTCGGTAACGCCTAACACGGGTACTTCAGCATCTGTCGCTCCTTCTTCCACAAACGTGTATTTTGGACAAAATGGGCAGAATGAAACTGAAATTGTTTCCGACACTATAGTCGGGCAAGCACGAATAAACGGTTTGCTTTTTCCCCCCAATTATCTATACATTCCCAGCCGCGGTTCCTTTTTTACCCCAAGCCTGGGGAAGGGTCCGGCAGAAGGGCGAGTCGGAAGCCGGGAAGGTTCTCCAGGCGGCAGCACACCTGGTCCTTTCTGGACGGAACCCTGCGTTTCTTGTATCTCACCGAGCTGCAAGTCCAGTGYCGGGGGAAAGAAGGCAACAATGACTCTCAGAACGAGCGGGTGTCCGGCCGACGGGAGGGCAGGGAAGGCGGCGGCAGCAGCATGACGGCAGGTGGCCGTGGAGGGCTCGGGGAGCCCACGGTCCCCCCGGCGGGACGGCACCAGGCAGTCCCGGGCCGCGGCCGCACCGTCCGGCGCTCCGGGAGTAAATCCCSCGGGTCTCCTCTCGGGGCCTCGCCGGGGCTCCACGTGCTGCCCGCCGTCGAGGCTGCGCCCCGGCCGCTGCCTGCCCGGGACCGGGGGGACAGGGCCGGCCTGGGGGGGTTCCCCGCGTCCAGACAGCCCCGGGGGCGACGAGGGCAGCGCGATTTCGTTGCCCTTTCCTTCAAATGCCGCAAAAGCGAGGGGAGCTTCGCCGCAAGGGAGGGGAGCGGGGCCAGCTGTCCCGCAGCGTCCCTGGGAGTTCCGAGAGGGCGCGGCGTGGTCCGGCCTGCCAGGATGGGCCGGGGCTCCCGACGCCCGCAGCCTTGTGCGCTCTCAGCTCGGATCGGCACGGAGGAAGGGACTCCGCCGTCCCCTGAAGGGAAGCCCGCACCTTTCGTTGCTTCCTTGGGCAGCCCCAGGTCCCACCGCCCACATCCCTCTAACCGCACCGTGACCTTCTCCCCGCGGTCTTCCCCGCTCCCTTGGGAGATGCCCGGCTGTCACCCTTCTTTTCCTCCAGAATAAAGAGAACAAGGGTAGGGTTTACCCCCAGATCCCCGATCCGGGTATTGCCCGCRTCTCCGTCTCTCCAAAAGACACATCGCTCATCCCCAGAGCTTCCGCTGTGATTTGCATCTGTGACACTGCTGTGATTTTTAATTTTAAATTTATTAATTTAGCGGTATCCGAATGCTCTGCGATCTTGGCAGGAAATGTTTCCATTTCAATCCTGCCTGAGGTCAATATTTGATGTGACCTGTTTTCGCGGGRGGTCACATGGAGTCAGCGGGGCTGCAGGTGCTTTACTCTTCGGTGCCTGGAAACGTCATCGACAGAAATATCAAGGGATGCTTCACCTCGAGCCTGTTTCTCCAGCAAACGGGGGGACCGGAAATAGAAACGGGAACAACGGAAAATCCCTGAGAGGAAGGACTACCCGGGTGGGACCCTGCTCTCTCCTCCTAACTGAAGGAGATATTGGCTTCTTCATGGGACCCTGCCATGTCACCCCATGAGACATCCCGGCCAGTCCAACAGCTCATGTGTTGCGTTATTTTTTCTCTCCTCTTGGTGTCACGTTTGCCACCGAAAGAGGAGCTTTTAGCACGTTTTATTAAGACATGAACACGTGCTCAGCAGCAGGGAAAAAAAAAGCAACCTGCCAAGCCTCCCTTCCTTGCCGTGGCTGACACGACRGCTCTCTCCTTCCTGCTGAAAATCAACCGAATGCCCTGGAAGACAGACTGCRTTTTATCTGCCTTCACCTCCCCCTTTTCAATGCACAGAGCTCACCAGAAAAGGCATCATTACACTCAAAGGATATGGTTTCAACAAAATGGTAGTTCCAGTGGCTGATGAAAGAGGAAATAATTGCATCCCTCATGCCTAGCCTAGAAGTAGCACTGGATCTCAGAGCAAATTTCTCTGCTATTGTTCAGAGAAAGTGAAGTATCCTCATCGCCTTACAGGCATGGTGATGGATCTGATAGGGTTTCTGCAAGGGCTTTTACTGTTCCTAATGTCCGCTCAGTTTCACTTCCAGGCTCAGTCCGACAGCATTCTTGTGATTTTTGCTCTGAATCCCCTTCTAAAATAGCCACAATCAATTTCGAAAAGAGATCTGCCTGCCAGACTGCAACATGCGCCCAGGGCTCCGCTCCCTCCCGCCGCAGCGAAAGCKAATAGCAGGATCACTGCCCTTATTTTGCAAAGCGTTTGCTTTGAGCTCGCCTGCCTCTCTGTGAGGRTTGTGCTGTAGAAACTCCTCCAACTATTGAAGAAGATTGGGTACCCTGTCATCGCTTCGTTTATGGATACACAGCCTCACCAAACCCACTTCTCATCTGAACTCCCGGCAGGGCGAGCCTGGAGGACGACGGAGCCATCGCTGCCGACCACGGCGACGACAAAGGGCGGTGCAGGTACTTGGTCCCGCAAAGGTACAAAGCACCTCCTGCCTCCAGCAGGCAGGGTTTGGAGCTACCCCCGGCCGTGTGCCTCAGCCGGGTAGGGACGGACGCGGCCTCCCCACCGGAGCAGAGCAGGGGGCAGCGCGGAGGGCGTTTGCCGTGCCCCTTCCGCATCCGCGCATCCTCCGCGGGTCRCCCGCGCGGCAGTGCTGTGCTCCGCCGGCCACCGCCGCGGCACCTGCGGCTGCAGGGGCGGGCCGAGAGCCGTGCCAAAAATACCTAAATAAGCAAACACAGAGGGATGCCATCCGGCCGCTGCCCGCCGAGCAACCCTCTGGGTACCCTCCGGGAGGCAGCCCGCGGGTCTCGCTGGCGCACGGTAAATGGGACAGCTCTGCCCTTACTGCCCGTAGCTGGGGGAGCTCCCGGTGGGGGGATACAGAGCCTGCCGCGCCCTTTCTCATCCCGGAGGAGCCCAGTGTAATTSCTTTCTCCCGCTGTTTAGCTTTAATCCTCGTCTCTGGCGTGCTCCCTCTTGCAGATTCCCTCCCACTCCTCGTCAGCCCCCTCCTCCCGCCGCTGCCCGGGCTGCTGACAGCGGGGACGGGGCTGTCCGCCGAGCAAAGTGCGCGGAGCAGCGCCCGCGGCGGCGKCGGATCCCGGCGGGCAGGGCCGGGCCGCTCCTCTCTCCCCGCTGCCCTCCCGCTCCACTGCTCCGGCCGGGCTCCAGCCTGCCCGTGGCTCCGGGGAACTGTGCCCGCTCTGCTGCCTTTGGGGGCAGCCCTTAGGCTTCCCCGTCCTCTTCCACGTATTGATTTCAAGGTGGGAAACGAGCGTTTTTGGATTGCAACTCACCTTATGCATTCTTGATCATTAAAAAAAAAAAAAAAAATCCCGCAGCTATGCAAAGACAGGATCTTTAAAGAGTTTGTAGTTCGACAGGTAAGGACTCGGCTGGGGCTCAGGAATGTGGAAATTCAACTCAAGTCAGCCTACTGCGACGAGCAATATTAATAAGGGCATACAGGCACTGGGGGGAGAGGCACAGCGAGAGAGGGCGAAACTTGGCAACTAAAATAACCGCGTGCTCTCGATTGCGRTGATCAAACACCGAGGAGCAAACAGCGGGCTCCCCGGGAGCCCCCGCCGCACCCTCCGGGGCCCCGGGCCCGTCCTTTCGCCCGAGCCCGCTTGGCTTTCCGGGAGCACCAGAGCAGAGGCAGCCGGACCAGTTGTCAAGTTAATTTCAACACGTCCGTGTGATGGATAGAAACGCAAATTGTGTCTAGGCCTGCATAAACCAAATCCCTGAGCGCAGGTTCAGAGCAGGGATTCCCCTCCTCCCGCCCCTTTCGCCTCTGTAATACCTCAGCTCTATTGTCCCAGCAGCAGCGCCTGAGTTAACTCTGTCAGGCTGCCTTTTCTTTTTTTTTCCTCTGAGGGTACTGTAAGCCAGAGATAATATTTAAGTTCGCTTAAGCAGTACAAAATAAAAGGATCCGTCATCACCCGCGACCGGCTCCCCKCAAGCTCGGTGCGGGCGGAGCTCCCCGCCGCCGGGCATCGCCCGGGACCGGGGACACCCACGGCCGTGCTTCGGGGGACTCCCGGCGCTTGGGCACCCGGGGGGGCGCACAGACAAATAATCGCATCTTTTCTTTTCCTTATTTTCTTCTCCTTTGCAGCGTTTTGCTCCCAACTCCGCACTAGAGTGACCCAAAAGCCGAGGAGATTTGTCGTACACAMGGACTTACCCTAATTTGACATAGATGACTCCAAAGCATAGAAACACGTAGAAAATCCACTTCCGAAAGTTTCTGTGCATGATCTAGAAGATGGACTGAGCCATAAAAATTGCACAAAAAGCCGAACTGATCTTGTCGATTAAATCCCAGTCAAGAGCATTGCTGAAGCTACCCAGGAGCAAAGCCGGCCGAGCTGTGAAAAGTCAAGTCCGCGCAGATAGGCAGCTCTTCCCAGAGCCATGGTGACCGAAACCGGCTCCGATATTAAAGCTAAAGAGGAAGAAAAAATAGAAAGGGCTGCTCAAAACAGTAAAACAAAAACTCAAGACAGACAGTCTGCGGGAGAGAATGAGCAAGCACTGATCTTGATCAACTGCCTCATAGAGCCCTGAAGTTCAATCTGTTTTTACTTGTTCTGACTTCCCCAGGTAACACTACGTATCTTGCAATCTATGGCTCCAGGTAGGAGGATCTCTCCTCTCTCTCTCTCTCTCTCTCTCTCTCTCTCTCGCTCTCTCTCTCTCTCTCTCCCGCTCTTCCCCCCTCCCCGTATGTGTCAGGATCTAATACATATCTTATCTGTGTGTGCGTGTGCGAGTTGTGCGTGTGTTTGTGTTTCAAAAGGCATGTCCTTAAGCCGGAGTGTTGCGGAAAACACATGAAACGTATCCAATACGGGAAATAAAGGACTCGTCCTCTCTCAAACCGAAGCATTTTTTCATTTCCTCTAGTATGGTAACGCGGCTGGATTCGCAATGCACGGACTTCGCAAAAGAGACTAAAAGAGACTGTTAAACTTCTCTCTTTTTTTTTTTTTTTCTTTTTTTCCCTTTCTTTCTAACCAAACAGAGGCAGGCGTTAACCCTCGCTTGCTGGCAGCTCCGTATCCTAAAAAGGCAACGTGCGTCCAGACTGCTTCTTCGGCCATTTGACCCTGCTGGACAACAAACGCCTGCCACCAAAYTTGATTTCATTTTCCGCAGTAAGAAAACATGCTTCCTCCTCTGAGAAACAGATACACTTGGCTTCTAACACTAGTTTAGGATAYTCAGTTTGCTGCTCCTAGAGAGATTAATCAATGAGACAAAACCTCATTTTGTGTTCAGACACTAACAGTGAAGCAAGGCTTCCTTTTCTTTCTGTTTTGTTTTTCTTTTTCCTTTTTCCTTTCTTTCTCTCTGTTTTTTGTTTTGTTTTGGAGTTGGGTTTTTTTTTTTTTTTTTCTCACTGATTCTGAGCTGCTCTGTTTATTGCTGTATTCTGTGGAACTATCTATTCCAGTCTACTACACAATGTGTGCCTGTCCGGAGGCACAGATCTGCATGCATATGCACGCTTAAATAGCACTCCGACACAAGTTTGTGGGCTGCAGGGAGTTACACAGATACRGAAAAACTCGCGCACCTCTGCCCTCTCCTACACACACATTCATATACGTGTAGCAACAGTCAGCACAGATGGCTCTAGGCATCTCTCGAAGAGAATCGGCTAAACACACACCAGGAAAGGCTGAAAGGAAAGCAGGCAGTGACAAGCAAGCAAAAGAGGCTGAACACAGAAGTTCATCGTAAAGTATCTATCCTGACGGAGAAAACAAAGGATTTTTTAAAGGCCAGCCAGGCTGCCGTGGTTGAAGAGGTGCAGTGTGAAATCGCAGGTCATGTTCAGACTTCCACAATAAAGGCTGCCCGCACCTTGCTGTCACCCAGCCAGGTCCTCTCCAGGCATCGTTCAGAGACCCCAAACCAGTCCCTGTGCGGGGAAGGGGAGGTGAAGAGGGACAGAGAAGGGCCGTACTGGGCCGGAGGGCTCAGAGCCAGTCCCCCAGGAGAGACGAAGGCGGCCGAGACTTCCCACTCCACCGCCRGCTCCGATTCCTCTGCCTGTGGATCGGTTTGGCTCTTTTCCTCCGCATTCCTSAGTTTTATTCTTTAATAATCAACACTCCGGCTCTCAGAGGCAGCCAGCTCTCCTCCAGACCACTCGGCTACACTGTCATCAATACTCAACTACAGACAATTTGTCCTTAAAATATGCCGAGTCTTCCCTTCTCACTCATTTCCTCGTATTAAACGTCATTTATTCTTTTTTTCTTGACCTAACACAAGGGGTTTTTTTGTTCTTCATCCCCACTATTTTTAAGCAATTTTTGGTAAGATTGACGTTGTGCTTCACAGAATTAAAGGAATCCTAGGCACACGGTGGGATTCTTGGGGCTGTCCTGTGCAGGTCTGTGAGTTGGACTTTGAGGATCCTTGTGGGTCCCTTCCAACTCAGAATAGTCCGTGACTCTTTGATTCTGTTTCCTTTTTGCAGAACCATGTCTCCAACAGCCTCATAACTTCACCCACAACTGCCTCCACACTCTTCGACCAACACCAAAACGTCTTTCACGATGCAGCCCCAACACCATCCGCCACCTGTGAACCGTTTTTCCGGTTTCTGAAACTTTTTGGAGACGAAATGTCCACCACGAGAGCCGCGGGGATGCAGCGGCGGGAGGAGCGGGGTACCCCAATGTTTTCCTTGTGGCCGGGGCGGAACGAGGCCGGCGGCAGGGCCGAGCGGTGCCGAGGGTGGAGGCGGGCCTGAACGGCGGCAGCGGGCGGGAGCCGCGGGGATGTGTCCCG